AAATCTAAAAAAGTCAAACTCATAGAAGCAGAAAGCAGCATGGTGGTTATCAGAGGCGAGGAGGGGAGGTTGGAAGATGTTGGTCAAAGAATACAAAATTTCACTTAGGAAAAATAAGTTCAAGAGATCTGTTGTACAACCTGGTGTCTGTAGTTAATAGCTATGTATTGCATACTTGAAAACTTCTGAGAGGAGACTTTAAGTGTTCTCACCACAAACAATAGGTGAGATAATGCATATGTTAGCTAGCTTGATTTAGCCATTCCACAATGTGAATAGATGTCAAAACATCATGCTGTACACCATAAATGTATACAAGTTGTATTTGTCAATTTAAAAAACAAAAAAATACCAAGGGGCCAGTATCATCATCCTCATTTTCCAAATAAGGAAACTGAGGCTCAGAGAGGATGTCTGAGGGCTTGAACGTGGCGGGACCTCGAACTGCTCAGGGCCTCCTGACTCCAATACTCTTTTCACAGCTGTGCACAGCTCTCCTTGCAATGCCCAGAGAAGGCTCTGCACTCCACAGCTACAAAGATATTGGGTCTTCTGTGGCAAAACCCTGGTGACAGTGGATGCCCTGGGGTGACACGCCGTCCTCCATCTGAATGTGTCCTCCTACTGTCTGCTCTGTTAGAGATGAGGCATTATGAGAAGGAGAAACTATTTGTCAAAAGTAATTGACAATTAGAAATGACCTAAATGTCCGATGGTAGCAGATTGGGTAAATAAATGATCATAGAGCCACATAAGAAATACTATTTGGCTGTTCAGAACAATGAAGTAGAAGAATATTTAATTTCACGGAAATGCTCCTGACATATTGGTACATTAGAAAAAGCAGATTGCCTAAGCAGTGAGCATGGTACAATCCCATTTTAACAACAACAACACACATAACATAACGAGTCAACATTTATATACCCATACTTACATTCATAGCAGCATATTCACAATAACGAAAACATAGAAGCAAACCAAGTGTGCTTTGATGGATGAATGGACAGGGAAAATGTGGCAGATACACACGATGGAGTATTATTCAGCCTTAAATGGGAAGAAAGTTCTGTCACATGCAAACGGATGAACTGTGAGGACACTGCGCTAAGTGAAGTAAGACAGTCACAAAAAGACAAATACTGTATCATTCCACTTATATGAGGTGCTTAGAGTAGTCAAATTCATAGAAACAGAAAGTAGAATAGTGGTTACCAGGGACTGGGTGATGGGAAGAATGTGGAGTTAGTGTTTAATGAGTACAGAGTTTCAGTTTTAGGGGATGATAAGTTGCTGGGCAGCACCTATGTCCATAGGCACCAGCCAGAAGCCACCAGGGCTTGCGGTGCACTAGAAATGTGGCTTGGCTGAATTGAGACGGGCTATAAATGTAAAACCCACCGTAGATTATAAGACTTGGTATGTAAAAAAGAATATAACTTTTCTCATGAAGGATTTTTTTTTTTTTTT